TTGATGGGGATATCCCGGTATGCGTTTACACGACCAAACATTCGGGTTAGAAAAGGGTTACCCCAGGTGTAGTAACCGGGTTTTTTAAAACCCGGTTATGAGCATATCCGGGTTTTTGGCGGTGTTTACATGGCCGTGCGGAACCGGGTTATTGTGAATATTCGGGTTTTAAAAGGGTTACTGGCTGCATGTAAACGCACTCAGTAGTATGAATGTCCATCCCGATACTGGGAGATCAGGGTTCAACTCCTGGTCAGGTCATAACAAAGACTGAAAAAATGGGACCCAATGCCTTCCTGCTTGACATTCAGCTTTAAGGGGTTGGATTGGGGGTTTAAACAACCAAATGGTTCCTGAGTGTGGCCATGTCTGCAGCTCACCACTTCTCCAAGGGGATGGGTCAAATGTGGAGAACAAATTTCACACACCAGTGTTGCAACTAATGGGACTTTAACTTTGTTGGCTTTGTTATCCACTCTGCTGTGGTCTTTTGGGGTGCAGGCAGCTCTGACTAAGACAGGAAGAGACTGAACAAGCTAGTTCACAAAGCTAGCTTGGTTCTGGGCTACTCACTGGAATCTGTTCAGGAGATGTGTGAAACGAGGATGCTGCGGAAGATGACCTCTTAGAAATAACCCATCCCACCACTCATTTCCACTGTGGGGACCATGGACAGTTCCTTCAGAGGCATACTGAGACATCCCAGATGTAAAACAGAATGCTTCCGTAGGCCATTCATCTCCTCTGCAGTAAGAGTGTAGAACTCCTCAATTTAACTGGTACTGGTTGGGGTTGGGCAACATTTCAATTTGAACAGTTTCAGTTCCTATCATGTCCCGATTCCGAATATTTCAAGTGGCAGGATCCAAAAATATTACATGTTTTAAATGAGCCAGCTAACCAATTCAATTCAATTCAAGTTTATATAGCGCCAAATCGGGACAAGAGTCGTCTCAATGACCTTCACACAGTAAACATTCCAATACAGGTCAGGTCATTAAGCCAATCAGTAAAAAGTTTCCTATATAAGGAACGCAGCAGGTTGCATCGAGTCACTGACTAGTGCCAGAGTCTTTACAGCAATCCTCATACTAAGCAAGCATGCAGCGACAGTGGAGAGGAAAACTTCCTTTTCACAGGAGGAAACCTCCAGAGGATCCTGGCTCAGTATAAGCAGCCATCCACCACGACTCACTGGGGATGGAGAAGACAGAGCACACACACACGCACACCATATATACCAAGTAGTGTTTCTTTGGTTACATTGAGATTTCTTAGTAAATATTCTATTTGGTGAGAGATACATTTTATTGTATTTATCCTAGTGAATCTATAATTAAACGGGTAAACTAGTAGTAGCACATTCCTTGTCAAAGAGTAAAATGTTATCAGGAGAGGGAGAATGTTTAAATGGTTAGCAGCAGTGTGCTAGACGATGGCCCCCTCCATGAGGCCACGTGGGGCCATTAAAGCCAAACTGAAACCGCATTATGGATTTAAAGCATCCCTTTAGGCCTCTGGTCTGACTAATGTGTCAATTGGCGTTGCTTTTATATGTTGCTGGTTTTAGTTTTTATCTGCATGCAGTGTTTAATAATGATAATACATTTTATTTGAGGGTGCCTTTCTCAAATCCAAGGACACCTTACAACAAAACACAGAGATAAAAACATTAAAAACAACACAGAGGTTGATCGAGCAAATAAGATGCATTAAAATTTGAACATTTTAAGATTTAAGTCTGAAGGGAATAGGCTTGCTTGAATAGGTGAGTTTTGAGGTGTACCTTGAATAATGTAAATGAGGCAGTATTTCTAATGGCATAGGGAAGTGCATACGAGAGCGGCGGAGCAGAGCGACTGAAAGCTCTGCTCCCCATGGCAGTAAGGTGAGCTCAAGGTTGAAAAAGGTGAAGTGCACATGAGGATCTAAGAGACCGGGAAGTGATTGCAATAGTTAATAAATCACACAGATAAAGTGGGGCCATGTTATGGATAGATTTAAATGTGAGTATTAAGATCTTGTATATGATTGTGGTTTCTATTGGCAACCGGTGTAGTTTTTTAAGAATAGGAGTGATGTGATTTCTCGAGGGGATACCAGTAATGATGCGTGCTGCAGAGTCCTGGAAAAGTTGGGGTTTATGATGGGATTTAGTGGGGAGACCAAATAGAAGGGAGTTACAATAGTCGATGCGAGAAGTGATGAGGCTATGAACGAGGATTGCAGCAGCATGAGGCGTGAGAAAAAAAATGGAGTCTGTTGAAAATGCGTAGATGGATATATGTGGCCCGAGTAACATGGTTAATGTGAGATTTGAAAGTGTAAGTGAAAGTGAATGTGTACCTTCTAGTATGACACCAAGACTTTTTACCTGTAGAGATGGGTGAACAGCTCCTCCTCCAGTTTAAAGAGACAGTACCCCAAAACGGCTCGTTCTCAAGACTGTCCTCAGAACAGGGGTAGATGAGGGTCTGTAGAGCAACAATAATGAGGAAATCAGACCAAAGAACTGCAGTTCCACTGTATTTAGACCCCAACTGAAGGATTTAGATGTAAAAAGGAATAACTTAAAAGCATGTTATGTCTCCTTTAAGCTCAGCAAAAAAATATTTACTTAAGCCAAGTAGGTTTGTGATCTATCAAACATGGAGTACGCACAGCTGCACGCAATCTCTGCTTTATAAATCGGAGACTAACGAGAATGTTTCTCAGCTGCATTTTAGTCATATCCCACCCTCACCACGCCCATTTACTGCCATAAATAGTCAATGCAAAGTGCCTTGTGGACCTCATGCATATACATAAGCCGGCTGTTGCAGCGCTCTGCCAATGACATGGCGACCGTGGATCAAGGAAGTGCAATTTCACAGAAGCAGAAATTCAGGTACTTGTGGGTGAGGTGGAGAAATGAAAGGAAGTGCTTTTGCCAAACAAATAAGAGAAAATCCACAGAGTGGCACAGCATTGCTGAAGCCGTCAATGTTGTGAATTCTTCAGAGAGATCTGTGGCGGATATAAAAAAAATGGTCCAATCGGGATTTGATCCCCTGACTCCCAGGTGAAAGTCACGCACGCTAACCAGTCAGCCAAATGGAGATCTCCCCCATACAAGTAGCCAGGGCGCATGATCAATTGGGTCACAGTGACAGGACACACACTGTCACAGACGCATGACATTCTGTCTCAATCTGTCCCCCTGCTGATATTCTACATTCTGTATTCTGCACTTCAGGCTGTGTGTGTGTGCTTGTGGGGGTTCTTGTTCTGTGTGAAAACGAAGCAGTACCAGTGATAATGCTGCAGGATTTCATAATTTTATCTGTCTCAGCAGCAGCACTGCAGGTGCTCTCCATGTCCACAATGTGCGTAAACAAGGTCCTTAGTCAGCTTAAAGTTGCGCACATTTTTCCGCTAAGTTTTCTTTCATAAATCCCAAAGTTTGCGTGGAAAGTTGCTTACGCAGTTTTCCGACCCCGTTTTGTGCGTAAGCAAGCTTGATAAATGAGGCCCCTGACCTGTATTGGAGTGTTTACTATGTGAAGTGCCTTGAGATGTCTCTTGTCGTGATTTGGTGCTTTATAAATAAATTTGAATTGAATTTAATTGAAAATCCTCAATATATTGTGATATTGATTTTAGACCATATCACCCAGCCCTAAACCATGGGGAAGCAGATAGATAATAAATAAAAGGGGGCTCAAAACCGAGCCTTGGGGAGCTCCTGCAGGAACCGGGAATGAAGTAGAAGAGTGAGACTGCAGTTGAATGAACGGAGTACGATCAGATATGTATGTGATGAGCCAGGCTAGAGGAATTGTGACTAATGCCGATAGATGCTAATCTTTTTAGAAGTATGTTATGAGCGATCGAATCGAATGCGGCACTGAGATCTAGTAGAACAAGAATTGAGAGAAGGCCTGAGTCTGCTGCCATTAGTAGATCATTAGTGATTTTACCAGTGCTGTTTAGCTGTATTAAGGTTTTATTGCTCTGGTATTCAGCATCAGCTCATGTGATGTTCTTTCATCAACCTTAATTTTAAGAGTGTATCGCTCTTTTTAAGTCTTTTCTTTTAAAAGGTTTTCATGTTCATTGTTGTGTTCGGCGCTTTGGATGACTCATTTCGGCCACCTGTATCAGTGAACTTGTTCTTACGGTCACTACTCATTGCCTGTGATCATAGATAAGGGTAGGACATTCCAACAATGGACAACATGATGTTGGTAGTATTCCAAGACTTTGGTAACAGTTAATTCTCGTTTTACCGCCCAGACCCAATGAAACCACTAAACTGGTCAGTTGTGGTGAAGAGGAGCTAAGCCAGCAAAGCTCTCAATCCTCACCCCGTGGTCATGAGCTGTGGGTAATAACCGAAAGAACAAGGTCAAGAACATGAGTAGCAGAAATGAGAGTTCTCCATTGGGTAGCCATGCACAGCTTCAGTGATGGGGTGAAGAGCTCAGAGTAGAGCTTTTGCTCCTCCATGTTGAGAGAAGCCAGCTGAGGTGCTTCAGATGTTTTATGAGAATTCCCCCGGCCGTCACTGGGGCAAGGTGTTTCAGGACTGTCCTGCTGAACCGAGGTCCCTGGATCTACTCAGAGTATGCGTGATGATCCTGCTGGTAGTGGTTGCTGGGAAAGTGCAGTTTGGGCTTCTTTGCTGAAGCTGCTACCCCGTTCCTCTGTATAATTAGGAGAAGACAGGCTTATGGACAATGTTTTGTAGAACCACAGCACTTTGTCTATCCCTACCCAGGATGAGTAACTACAAATGTTGGGTTGTGGGGCTCAGTACTGATGGAGGTTAGGGTTTGGACTGATTTCTGACCAAATTTAGTTTGTCTCAAAGAAAGCGAACAGAATCGGTTTATAGAAGCATAAGGTGTCATTGTCGTGTTTGTTTATGTCCACAGATCAATAAAGTTTACACAAACCAGATGAGTGGACTGGATAGCTCATTGGTGGTGTTGTAGTGATAAACTTCTGTTTTTGTACAGGCAGCGACACGGAGAGCGACACCGAAGACACCAGAGAGGTGAGTGTGACTCGGGAGAGACACGAAGGCATCTCCAGCTGAGCCTCACACCAGAGGAACAGGTTTCTACCTGCTCTGTGCTCATTACTCACACAGGGTGTGTGTGTGTTTGTGTGTGTGTGTGTGTGTGTGTGTGTGTGTGTGTGTGTGTGTGTGTGTATGTGTGTGCATGCGTGCGTGCGTGTGTGTGTGTGTGTTCCTTCCTGTAGTGTTGCAACAAAGTGAGAATAGGGAGGGCTTTGTCAGGAACTGTGTCTTTCAAACATTAACAGTTTGATCTGATTTGTGGGTTGTGTGCGTGTGTGTGTGTGTGTGTGTGTGTGTGTGTGTGTGTGTGTGTGTGTGTGTGTGTGTGTGTGTGTGTGTGTGTGTTGTAATGTGGGAAACTATCTGGTGTAGTCGTCATCACAAATGCGTCCTAACCAGTTAGACGGCTGCTGGGGTTAAACTGTATAAACTGGTTTGTTCTTTAAGGTGTGAGAAAGCCGTCTAAGAGGTTGTCCCTAAACTCCAGGTTCCTCATTCATCGCCTACTTATGAACAGATCTGTTTTAGTGTGGTGTTGACCATCTAGTACTGGTGTAGAAATGTTCCTAAACATCAGACCAGCTCTGACCATGCGTAAGAACAGTGTCTAGTGGCAGAACGAGGAACCACATCACTGAAGGTCTCAGTCATCCACTTATTGTTTGACCCAGTCAGTAATGATGTCTGTGGAGAAACAGCTGTGTCACACACCTGCTGGTAAAACCTAGAAGACACCTGTGACCCACGGGAACCTAACATTGTAGCACGACACCACCGTCATCAGACTCTGCTCTGACGGGGACGAGTCTGCCTACAGAAGGAGGAACAGCTGGTGTCCTGCTGCAGCCACAACAACCTGGTGCTAACCCCATAACCCTGTCTGACACCCCATCACAATGGTGGACTCATGTCTCTTCCTGGCCACCACCATCACCTCCATCATTAAAAGGCCCAGCAGAGGATGAACTTCCTGATGCAGCTGAAGAAATTCAACCTATCAGCACAGTCGATGAGGCGGTTCTACCCCGCAGTCATCGAGTCATCCTCACCTCTTCCATCACCGTGTGGTACGCTGGAGCTACCATCAGGGATATGAAGAGGCTGCAGTGTGTTGTGTGCTTTGCTGAGAAGGTCATTGGCTGTAAACTACCCTCCATAAAGGACCTGTACACCTCCAGGTCATTGAGGCATGCAGGTCGGATCACAGCTGACCCGTGTCACCCTGGACTTCGACTCGCTGCCATGTGGCAGAAGGCTCAGATCCATTTGGCTGCTTATATAACCACCAGAACATCCTACTCTGATGGCATCACCCCCGCTATTCAGCAGCTTCTTTGGCTGCCAATAAAATTCAGGGTCCACCACAAAACTTAAATCCATCCATTCAAAATCTAGTCCCCTCTTGTCTGTCCCAGCTCCTAGAAGTCACTAACCCCTCTGGTGTGCTCAGGTCCTTTTCCATCTACTTAACTGACCCACCAGCACATCTTCTCATTAGCAGGTCGGCAATCATTACCTGCTCACCTCAGGAACATGACTAGTCTTCACCTGTTTCAGGCTGATCTCAACACTCACCTGTTCTAAACTGTAGCTGTTCTTGTTGTTCATCTGATGCTATATTTGGGGTTTACATTTTCTACTCTTTAAATGTTTTATTTATTGTTAACCTGATTGTACTCCTTGGGTTTTCTGAAAGGCACGCCAAATAAAAATTATTATTCGGACCAGAACCTCTCGCCACAAGAACCGTTCCTTCCCTCTGCTGTTGAACTCATTAACGACCATCCTAGGACTGCCCACTCCAGTCACATGACCTGGGGTTGTTTGGACCTGAACTGACCTGCAGTGTCAACTAAAGTGACACGTGGTTCAGGAGATTTAATGAAATGATTTTCATTTATGATCAGTTGTACTTTTGGAGAATCATCAACACGTTTGACTCGGGAGGTACTCGTGGTACGAGGATACGACTCAGGTCCACGAGTCAGATGGGGTTAGGAAGGCCTGCTGTCCCTGACTGGCTGTCTCTAACGACGTCCTTGTCTCCATGTCTCTAACAGGGTAAAAGTGTGGGATGGAAGCATGACTACAACTCTGTCCTCAGGATCCCGTCCTGCTCTCTCCCAGGCATGTCCACCTTCGTCAGTCCCAGTAAGCCCAACTTTAGGGTGACCAGCATGAAAGACCCCGCCCCCCTCATTAGCTACCACCTGGACAGCTGGACCTACAGCCAGAACCAGAACTGTCTCTCGTCCTCAGCCAGCAGTGGTCATGAGATGCGTGCCAGTGTCATTAGGAAAACCTCTGATGTCACTTCCTCCTGACCTCAGAACAAGTATCATTGATGTCTTCAGGAGATGGGAAGGACAGAGCAAGGACCACATGCCAGGATTTGTCTTTAGCTGACCAGTTCATACTGCAGCCACCCCCCCTTCCCCCATGCAGGAGGACCAGAAGAACGCCACGGATCCTCGTCCCCTCTAAGCCAGCATCCCACTGGACTGGGACAAGGGGGTGTCCCCAAACACATGTGCTCAGTTCGTCTTTGCTGAGTCACAGAGACCAAATGTCCACTATTGTGGTACTCCATGAAGACACTTTGTGACTTAGCTACACATCCCTATGGGGCTCCTCCAGAAGACCATGATGGTGATACCAGTCCCAGCCCAGTGAGGCCTGGCGACATGTGGGTGGACACGTCCATTCTATTGAGTTCAGTTAGCTGCAAACAAACCAGAACCTCGTCTTTCTGTCACTGTCCGCATGTCCAGCCACATGTCCCACAGCTGGACACTTCAGGACGCTCTGGTGTCCCCATGGTGTAAGAAGCTTTTATACTTAATGCCTGCAACTGCATCAGCACCTTACACACCTGTGGTGTGTGTGTGTGTGTGTGTGTGTGTGTGTGTGTGTGTGTGTGTGTGTGTGTGTGTGTGTGTGTGTGTGTGTGTGTGTGTGTGTGTGTGTGTGTGTGTGTGTGTGTGTGTGTGTGTGTGTGTGTGTGTGTGTGAGTGTGAGCGTCAGAAGGCTGAACAATAACTTGTAGAATAATTAGTCATCATGCTAAAGCATCTTCTCTGTGGTGGACCACACCAGCTTCTGCCACAATAAATAATTATAATAATAATAATAATAAATCACACACAAAGTTGTGAACATTTTAATTTCCTTTCTGAACTATTTCTGTTGAGAGTTTAATGTTTAAATCTGTTAGGTTGTTACTGACAGCAGCTACGTTTAAGTTTCACTTCCTGTTCTGCCTGAACGCTGCTGCAGCATGGAGGTGTAGTTCTCAGTCATCCTGGACATGATCATCCTGAGAGTTTTAGCTGAAAACAGCTGGACGTTTCTGGATGTGTTGGAGACATTTAGCCTCTCATCCCAGAGGCTTCTTCCAGACTTTGATCGTGGTCAGAAACAAACACACTGGTTGTGCTGCAAGTCTTTTTCTTTTTTTTTCTCCAAAACACGTTTTTGTCTAAATTAAGGTGATGTTGTTGTTCAAAGAATTATGTTGAAGTTCAGATTATTTCATCAAGTAGGACCTGTGGTTAGCTAGCTCATGTAAAGCATGTCATGTCTTGAAAGAATCAGAATCGAAACGAGGAATCGGAATTGTTAAAAATCAAAAGATGCCCAGCCCTGTGTGTGTGTGTGTGTGTGTGTGTGTGTGGCTTCTGATCTTGTCTGCAGCCAAACTGCTTCAGTCTTTTAGTAACTGACTTTTACAAGAAGTTCTTAGAAAAGAACTGAAGACACCTCTCTCTCTTTCTCACTCACACACACACACCTTGCTGTGGTAACAGGATCAGGTTCAGCTCTCCACCGTATCAGGAAGTGTGTCAGAACAAGACTGTAATAAGATAACATGACAGACGGGGGCAGGAACATGGTGGCTGTTCTTGGTTAGGGTTAGGCTGAATGTGGACGCTTCCTCGGTGCCTTCTGGCGTCCTGATCCTGATGCAGCCTAACGGGCTGTTATCTAAGCCCCTCCCCTCTCTGGCTGATCCTGGATCGGTGTGTGTGATGTTTACGGTGAGGCGTTCCGGTGGTATAAACACACCAAAGATGTATTCATGATCATGAGTCCAAAGTCCTTCATCTGCTGTACAAGCCATCATGTTAGTCCAGTCATGTGAGATATTGTTGCTGTTATTTAGCGCCACGATGCCCTTCGGGAACATAAACTGAGTTTTTGTTGATCCATCATAAGTTTGTGAACCTTCTGAATCTGCGTGTGAATCATTCTGTACGTCTGAAATAAAGAGTTTATTTATACTGCCGTGTTTGTTCAACCTTTATCTGCTGTGTTCAAAAGATCAGAGTCCAGGTTTATGGCTGTGATCCCGGAGCGGAGCGCTCGTTTATGTGCAGCTGCTGAGATAACAGGGGTGGGGTGGTGCAGCTTTAGCTCTTTTCTGTGTGTGTGTGTGTGTGTGTGACATGTCTAACAACAGTCTAACCACACACACACAGTTGAGCTCTAACTGCTGTTTCGGTTTCAGTTGCTGTTCCCGGTTCGCACCCTACTTCCTGTTTGTCTCGGGGGCCCAGCGGGTGGTTGCCTTGACGACCACTAACCACTAGTCATAGTAAACAGTCTGTTTTTGTTCATTTCACTGTTTGACTTCTTTCCTTCTATGCTCCAGTGCACCCCCCCCCCCCCCCCCCTCCTCATTTCTAGCTCCTGATTGGTCCAGGGTTCGGGTCAGAGAGGAAACGCGTTGTTTATCTGGTTAAACGTTTAGATCCTCTCACTTATTTAAAACGTCTAATTCCTGAACAAGACTGGAATCTGTTCCATGTCACTTCCTGTATTTCCACATGAAAAAGCAGGAAGGTCCTGGTGCTGTGTTGTGATGCTGCCACCTGGCGTTCAAAAGGCTAAACTGCCTTGTGATCTAAGGTGGATTTACCCAATCACAGGGCAGATACCGTTTTAATAACCCGCACTGTAAAGATTAACTATGAACAAAACAACTGAATTAGTGACATAAAATGAGTTCATTGAGCTCATAGTTCCAGCCCTTTTTGTATCTTCATACCACTAACTGAGCTAACTGGAGAGAAATTGCTGCAGCCCGCATCATCACTAGAACACCTTCTTCTCAGCACATTACGCCTGTTTTTGCAGAGCTTCACTGGTAACCTGTAAGATATCCAGTTTATAACTCCTCTGCTAACATAAAGCTCTCAGCATCACAGCTCCATGCCACCGTGCACTCAACCACCAGTAACCTACTTGTGACACCGCGTGTAGCCCATCCACCATGGGCCTTAGGTCCTTTGGCTCACAAGCTCCTCGGCTCTGGAATGAACTGCCTCCATTTATTCATCCAGCTACCTCCATTCAACACTCTCCTCAAAACGCACCTGTTTGGGCAAGCATGCCCTACGTGTCTGGCTGAACCTACGTGCAGGTCATGTCTGACTTGACCATCATTGGTCAGTCTGAAGCGTCGGGCTGTTACCACTGATTTTACTGCTTCTTCCACCTTGATTATGATGATCTTGAACGTATTGTTGTTCCTGTAATTGATTTAATTATTCCTGCCCATGATTGTATCTTGCCTGCATTCCTAAATAACCTTATAAAGGTGTGTCCTAATAAGTTGACTTTATTACTTTTACAGGTATTAGGTGCTATCTACTTAGTATCTCGAGTGTTAATGACATCAGTTCCATTTGACCAAGTGTCACTTTGTATTTTATTGTATTTATTGTTTCATGGAGAGCTTTCATCTCACTCTGTGTTATTGAGTCTAATAATTGCTATTATTATTATTATTATTATTGTTATTAGATGGAGTAAACAGCCATCAGCCTAAGCACACACCTAAGTTAAGGTGTCTCCAGGTCATTCTCAGCTCTTACAGTCAAAACAAACACAAAACATCTGGAGGCTAAATGAAGCGATCTGTTCTTCATCAGTCAAACGATGCTGCATGGAAGTAAATCTACAGTCACGTCTTGTGAGAAGCTTTGTTCCCCTTAAATATTCTGTTCCTGCTCATAACTTTTGCAAATCAAGTGCAAATATTTCCAAATACACACAACTTTTAGTCTATTATAAGAAGTGTAAACAACGTGAGATCACATCCTTTTACTGGTGAAAGTGATAAACATGTTGGAACGAAGTTCTCTGGCTGACTGTTCTATCAGGTTAGGTGAACGTGTGATAAGTTAGAAAACACTTGGTTTCTCTTGGACATGAAAAACAAACATGAAACAGCAAAGAGGGACAAACAGCACCATGATGTCTTTACTGTAAGTAGGACATAAGACCACGAGCTTGACATCTTTGTGTAATTTAACAGAAACGTCGGTCGCTCGTGAAGAGCCTGAGGTGTTCCTCCTGACGGGGGACTTGTTTTCAGGAAGGGAGACATGTTTCAACGAGGCATATACGGTTTATTTCAAAGTAAAACCCATGTTGCATTGTTTTCCTTGCTTTAGTTCTGGGGTTGATGACGGGATATCAGGTCACACTAGTTTATGTTATTTTACAGGTAAATCTTTAGAAGTATTGTGTCAAACTTCTACGTGTTGCTCTTGTGGGAGCAGGTATCTGGAGACATGCAGCAAACAAGCAGTGGTCAGTGTGATTTTCAGACAGAATGAATGATTAGTTAGTTCACCTGTCCAGGTGTTCCCAGCTATCGGAGCACAAATAGGCCATCTAAGGCGAGGCAGACCAACCAGAAAAACTAATAAACCAACAAGGACAGAAGGCAGCAATGAATCAGCGTGTAAATAAAAATATCTAATTACAACCTCACAATTTATAAACCTGCATCTAATACATCCAACCTTAAATCCATGTACCTGTGTGGTGTCAACGCCTCATGCACGCCAGCTCTCAGTCCAACAATCATCCAGGCACTAAAATTCACTCATTCATCCATGATGCTGTAACGGAACGGAATGACTGTTTTTTTTCCTTCCTCTGACCAGTGTTGGGAGTAATGCGGTACAAAAGTAATTAATTACTGTAATGCATTGCCTTTTGCTGTAATGTAGTAATGTAAGGCATTACAGGGAAAGAAAAATGTAATATTTACTCGGTACAATTGTCAGTAACGCAGTAATTACAATGCATGTTTAAACCCAGAATCAAGATGTGTGTTTCCTAAAAATTCAAATTGTGGGAAACCTGAAAAAGATCCAGTATCTACATATATGACGTCATTTATGGAGTTAGCTTTGCGGGCAGAGAGGACGCAGCGGTAACGACTCAAATACTCTAGCTGCGTCCAGCATGCGGCCGCTGTAACATTCCCAAAATCGCTCCACTAAAACAAAATCATTCACTTGCGATCGTTCATATCGGCGCATATTCTCGGGTACTTTGTACTTTTCTGACGTGCGTTGCCTCAGCTGAGTTCATATTCTGTGCCCCGGTGATTTCAACTCATTGCTGCTGGAGCGCCGCGCATGTGAAGATCCCTTTGGCTGATAGTTAGAAAGTAGGAAATCTAGGAAACAGTTTTTTCTGGAAGACAGAGAAAACATGCAGCATGCAGGAAGGTTAGAGAGAGAAAGGGCAGGAAATTATTCAAATAAAATCAAGAAAACAAAACAAAGTGCTTGAAAAGAAAAAAGTAGGTAGATTTATCCCCAATACACATTTTTACCACTGAAAAGCAATAATATATAAACATTTAATATTTATACATGTGATAGAATCAGATCACCCCAGAAGTCAGTCCCACATCCAGGGCCGTATCAAGGCATTTGAGGACCAAGGCAAATATAGGCTTGGAGCCCCCACCACCTCACTCCCTGCTCAGTTACTATAAGATGGCAGCGCGCTGAGAGTACAGATTGTTGTTGCTTTTATTTAATAAACAATCATTTTAAAGCACTGTTATTATATCTGACTGTTTTTAACAGCAATCCTAGCTCAGACACCACATAACCTTCCACGGGATGTGTCATGAGTTCAACTGGCATCAGATTACCAAACTCATACTGACGTTGTATTGTAGAAAGTAACTTAGAGTAATGCAAAAGTTGTGTAATGCCTTACATTTTAAAATCAGTAATATTGTAATGTAATGAATTCCTTAAAAATGAGGGTAATAAGTAATAAGTAATGCATTACAGTTTTGAAGTAACTTGCCCAACACTGCCTCTGACACAGGACTAGTCTGCATGAGATATGGTCTCAAGGTCTCACGCATTCCTTCTAACCTGCTTATTTTCAGCTCAACAAAAGAATGAAGAATGAACTCTTTTCTTTTAATTAATCAAAGAACTCTATTTTAATAAAGCTAATCCATCAAAGTGTTAGTCAATAAATAAGATGTGACCGATCTGTGAAATCAAAATATTAATTTCCTTATTATAATCCTATAGAATATAAAGGTACTATGACTTTAAGTGTTCCAACAGGACTGATTTCAGAATCAGAATGAATTTTATTGCCAGCGCTCCAGATCAGAGCATAGGAACTTGACTCCATAGTACAACCTGACCAAGGTTACACACACACATATAGACAGGACAGATACAGGCAGACCATGGGAGCAGCCATGACAGCGCTTCTTTGTAGATGAATGAGGGAATACATGAGGAAAGTTCAGGGGAGGGAGAAAAAAAGGCATTAACAGGGTTACACCAGCAGGGTGTAGCACTCTAATGCAAAAAAAAAAACCCACCCGACATGTAAGCACAAACGTCACAGTTCACAACATGAGACCCGGTAGGTAGGGGGAGGGGCTGGGATCCTGGTTTCCTCAGCGGGGGCTGCCTGTGGCGCTCAACCAGCTGGCTCCGCAGGTGGGAGGGAGGTCATGGGGAAGCACAGAGAGCAGTGAGTCCTTTAGCTTAATGACCTCGGTAGAGACCACAGTCTGAAGGCGGGGGGGGATAGAGTTTCACAGCATTTGTCTGCATTTCTTCCATCGTGGGGGTTTTTGCACGCAACTCCAAGGCTGCTTATGGCGTCAGATTCGATAACAGAACTTTGTTTGGGTCAGGCAGAGATAATTTTTCCTCTCTGCCTTAAGTCTGTATTGATCATTCAAGTCCTCCAGTGAAGCAAATTCAGTGATTAAACATCTCCACACCGTCCGGTGACCCTTTCCGAGATGATATCAATCTTGCGTGCTAACACTGGTAACGCAGCTAAGACATTGTCCAGCTTGCGATTCACCTCGAGCAACGTCCCAGTCTGTGAGGTATCCACACGGACGGTGCCGTCCATGGTTGCGGGTCGCCCTCCAATCGCTCCCGTCATCCCAATTTTACGGAAAGCCAGATATCCTCCCACTCCA